TGCTAACCTCAGGGTCAGCAGTTCGAAACTGCTAGCTGTTCCACAGGAGAAAGATGAGGCTTTCTGCTCCTGTAAAGATTTACAGCCTGTGAAACCCTGTACAGGGTTGCTATGAGTTGAAACCAATTCCATGGCACATAACAACATACAGGGTTGCTATGAGTTGGAACCAACTCGACTGCACTTAACAAATCTTCATCAATGGGAGTGCGGTGTACTTCAAACCGTAAGGTTGGTGGTTTGAGCCTGCCGGCCATTCTGTGGGAGAAATGTGAGGCTTTCTGCTCCAACAAAGATTTAAAGTCTCAGAAACCCTATACAAGTGGCTATGAGTCAGAAGTGACTTGAAGGCACTTATTGACGACAAATCTCCATTAAGAAGGGGTTCACTAGGGTGAGCCTTCGGATGCCAACTGAAAGGTCAGCAGTTCTAACTCACTCTGTGGGATAAAGACGAGGCACTCTGCTTCCATAAAGATGCTTGAAACCCCTATGGGACCGTTCACTGTGTTCTCCAAGGTCACTATGTTTTGTTTCTTTTATCTCCATTAATTCTCAGAACTATCTTGTGAGGCAGGTGCTACCCCTTATCTCAACAGATAGATACACAGAGCTAAGTATCTTGTCCCCAAGTCACTCGGAACTGACCAGAGACAGAATGAAGACCTGAACCTGCCTGCTAGTGGTACACGTCTAAATATTAATAAATGCAATGAACCAGGTTATTGTTATTCATCATGTTCAAATTTGGTTGACTTTTGGATAATCAAGAGAGAATCTTGGATCTTCAAAGTAGAAAATCCCTGCCTCAACACCCGGTTAACTTAAAGAACGTCAAAGTTAATTTACAAACAGTCCTGAGTTCCTAAGCCGTTTTTAAAAAATCTGGCTGGTTCCTTTTTCAGGACACCCAAACTGTCTGCTTCCAGCTTTGACAAATACACAGATCATCTTTTCACCAAAAAGAGCCTACTTCTTTCCCAAACAGCACTAAGTAAAGTTGGTTACTATGTTGCATATATTTAACACAGCTTTATGTAAAATAAATCATGCCTAGGTAAACAGAATTGGTCTTATGCTAACTGCAGAAGAGCCAAAGAGTGCAGTCTTCTGTAAGTAGCTGTTAAAAACATAACAAAACATAACAAACTTAGTAACCAGAACAGCAAAGCATGGTTTTCAAGTTTGGTTTCTAGTCTCATTTTATCCTAGTGGAGTGGGCAGGATACTACCTATGGCTCTCCTAAAGCAATTAGACGGCTTGGTTCCATGCCAGGGTGTGTAAGCTCTTTTAATTCCTCATATTTGGTAATTTATCTATTTTAAAATTACCAAACCTGTCTTGTGTTTTAAGTTTTGTAGTAGGTAATTCTTTGTAACTACTTATCTTAGCCAGGGCAGTCTTGTGGAAAAAAACACCTGTTTAAGCATCGTCACCTAGTTTTCTCTATGGTTATTGATAGAATCACTCTTTAAAAATGGAAACAGGTGGTCAAAATTTCTGCTGTCTGTATGAAGCTAGGTACCAGAACAAGTTTTTTGTGTAAACATCTTATACCTTGGTGACACAGAATGCCATCCGACAACTGCTAACAATATCTGTACAATAAAAATGCTCTCGATCCATTTACTAACCTAGGATTAGTTTGGAATTTACAGACATTTTGCACGATTGCTTTGTTTTAGAAGAATGTTCTTGTTGCCAGTTTCAGAATAGCCCATCTAGACTACTCAGATACAAAAATGTAGCCATGAAGGCCTTTGAGAGGGAACTAAACCCCATAACAGCACAACTAGTCCCAAGTCACACAATGAGTTGTGGCCCTGGTTTACAGACCAGAGCTTCCCATCAGACTTGAAGCTCTTCTTATGACACAACCTCTGCAGGATTAATGCCAGTAAAGAACAGATCTTCCTCAGGGCAGTGGGGACCAGGGGTCTAGGGCTTATCATTTACAATGAACACACATGTTTTTTGTAAAGTTCAAACTTCATACCTAGGAGTCAATTCTTTTTTTCCTTTCTGAACCAGTGTGTACTGTGTAAGTGCTGTAAGGAATTTAATAGACAGAAGGTTTCATGGTCAAACAAGTTAGGAAACACTGTGCATCCTATCCCCACTGTCAATATTCGTGGTGAATTGGAAAGCACATTTAAAAATTTTATTTGTAAATTAAAGAGTGAACAGTTCGTAGTAAAGAAACACCTTCAAATTTAACAAACATATCTAGCTAAGAACTATTTTCCCAGTCGCCCACCCCTTGTTGTTGTTGTTAAGTGCTGTCGAGTCGGTTCCAACCCATAGTGACCCTGGATAGGGTTTCCCAGGAGCAGCTGGTGAGCTTGAACCACCAACCTTGCAGTTCAAATGGCTTTGCAGTCTGGTGCATTAACCCACCCCTCAAAACTTCTATTTTTCTATGCAATGAATCACCTTTTTAGCAGAACACACTTTTGGGGAAAGGCTATTTTAAATGTCTGTCAAGAGTGTACTTTCTTAACATGGCACATTTCAGAGATTACTAAATAGCATAAAAATACCAAGAATACAGCTTGTGAAAGTAAAAAGTTTTATTTTGATTGATTTCTCAACGTATAAGTTCAATATAATGCCAGTTTTTAATGGCAAAAGTTTGGTTCCACTGAAATTCCATAATGCTACCAGAGAGCTACTACTTTTTCCAGAAATAGGTAAATAGCGGGAAACAAAAAGACAAACATGGCAGCATGGCAACTCAAACTGCGGACCCAACAAGTCTGCAACTTGTACACAAAACACGGCACAACTAGAGCTGGTGACGAAAGTGAGAAAGGGGAACAAGATGTGAACACCAAAAGGAACAATATCAGTACTGTAAAGACAAAGAAAAGTCAAATATAGCTATAAGGACTCTAAAGGACAATTATAGAAAAGGGAACCAAATATTTTACTCAAATGCTTTTTAGAGCCTTTCTGTAGAGATACAAATATATATGTGTGTGTATATATATATATATATACTTATCCAAAAATATGTTTTATATAGATAAATGTTTCTCAATCAAAGATGGGACCAAAGCTATAGTTACAACATAAAGCACTGTCTTTCATATATTTATCCACCTGAATTTTTAAATTTAAGGTTAGTCCACTGAATGCTTTCCAAATATAATTACTTGACATTCATTTTATAGCTATAAATCCAGTAGGCATTATTTTCAAAAGATTTTACATGTTTTTCTAAGATGCCGTGCATATCAAGACTTAAGACAAGTCCTATTATGAATCATTCTTAATACACGTGACAAAAAAAAGGCCACATAAGTCAGATTTTCCTTTTTGTAGTAAACACGTTTCTGATTTCCAGTTTACAAGTGTTTAAAATGCACAAGAAAACTTTTACTTCTTCACAAGTACTTTTATGTTAATATAATTTGATTTCATATATATGGCAGCACATTTCCACATGTTGTAACATTAGTATGTGTCTTTTTTAATTAAAAAAAAAAGAGGTCTGGGGGATATAACACTAGCAACTTCTATCTATAAAATAAAGCACACAATTATTTTGGTGATTTTACAAAATTTTTTTTCCAGGTGTTTAAGTGCTACAAAAACTCCTAAAAATTAGAGAACACTGAAAACATATCAAAGTCTGACTTCCAACTTTATAGTATTTCCATTTTACCCTGAAAGATAACTTAAAAAATATGACCTTGCTGGAACAGGTCACATTGCTAATATTATAAAAAACTGATGAGCAAGAAATTATATCACTGATAAGTGGAATTTCTATAAATAGTTATCTCTCCAAATCATTAGAAAAATGTTCAAAGGTAAAGAAAAAAAAACGGTGGTGGTCCCTAAACTATTCTGAAGGCAGGTAGCTTAGTCTAAGCTAAAACATTTTTTCATTCATTTCAATCATCCTCCATAAAATGCCCTTTAAAAAATGCATGAAAGAGTACAACAGCAAGAATCAAAGAGCATAAACTGTATTCTCAAGAACAGAAAAATCTCTAATGCTGAAAGATATAGCAAAAGCAGAATTCTTTGGGGACATTAATCAATTAGCTTTTAATTCATTATGAAGACTTGTCTTTTCTATTACGGGGAGAATCTGCTCCATTTGAAGTTACTGTTCCATTTACACCATTTTCTGAAAAGAGAAAAGAATCAGTGTTTTATAAATAAATGCAAATAATACAATTTTCATATATAAAAGTATGTCAGAAAAGAACATTTAAAATCCAATAATATATATTCTTAGACTTTCAGATCAAACTTGTCTAATGTATGCACCAAACAAGATTCAGAGAAACTAAGCAGAAAGCAACTGCTAAGAAACTACAAAGCAAAATAGGAAATTCATAGTCTTACAAAGCTAGGGAGTCAAAAACTTGGATTTGAGGCCTGCCAATCCTGGGAGTCCTGGTGTGGCGCTGTGGATTAATGCGCTGGACCGCAAAGTCGTTTAAATAGCAAGGGGCATGGTTCAAGCTCACCAGTGACTCCTTGAAAACCCTATACAGCGTCACTACGGGTCGGGATCGACTCAACGGCACTAAACGACGAACAATAATCTTGGTGTGGCACTGTGGCCAGACTGCAAAGCCGTTTGAACTTCAAGGTTTGCAGTTCAAACTCACCAGCTGCTCCTTGGAAACCCTATATAGAGTCGCTATGGGTCGGAACCGACTCAATGGCACTTCACAACAACAACAACAACAACAAATGGACTACTGGTGTGGCAATACAGGATCAGCACTGGACTGTGAACCATAAGGTTGGCAGTTCAAACCTACCAGCTGCTCCTTGGAAACCCTACACAGGGTAGCAATGAGTCTGAACCAACTTGACAATACTTTACCAACAACAACAACAACAACAACAGGGAAGGCTTTTATAATACCCAGAGAGGGTTTGAAGTCCTTGGAATGGAAATAGATATACTTTGAGTAGGCAGAGTGACCATATTCAATCAACTGGTTATAATATCTATACATACATATATTTTTGGTAAGGTGTTGTAGATAAGCACTGGACTGCTAATTTCAAGGTTGGTGGTTCAAACCCACCAGATGCTGCTTAGAAACCATACACAGGTCACAATGAGTTAGAACCAACTTGACAGCACTTAACAACAACAAATATATATATATGAGTGTGTGTACATGTATATACATATAGTTAATATGTACATACACACATACACGCACAAGTATATAAGTGCTGTCAAGTAGTTTCCACTCATAGCATTTCCAAGGAGTAACTGGTGGGTTTCAACCCCCAATCTTGTAGTCAGCAGTTCAGTGCTTATCCTACAGTACAACACCAGGACTCCATATACATGAAGTTCTCATGGTATCTCTTTTCTGAATTTTTTACTTTAAACCTTTCTTTCTTATCTAGACACAGATAGAGGTAGATGTTGTTGTTATTAAGTGCCGTCGTAAAAAATATACAAAAGATTATACCATGAGAATATTTAACCAAAACCAAAGCTGATATAACTACAGTAATTTCAGACAAAATAGAGATACATTTCAAAATGAAAAAATGACACACATCAGGAAGATAAAAATTTTAAACTTCTATGTACCTATCATAGCTTCAAATATATAAAGCAAACACCCAACTACAAAGAACCAATCAAGTTTATAATCATTGTGTGAATTTTAAGATACTACCTGCAGTAGTACAGAATACGGAAAGAATACGCAGAACTGTTTTTTCTATCTTTTATACTAATGAAGATACAAATCACAATCAATAAATGTGACAGGACACCTCCTGAGCACAGTAGTAGTTAGGGAATGGAACACTCATCCTTTTAAAACGCAAACAGAACACTGACTGTAACTGAACAACATGCTGAGCTGGATTATCAACAAATCCAAAAATTATCAACAAAGTCCAAAGAAATTAAAGCATTCTGAGTATCTTATTTAAGCACATTGGAATCAAGCTAGAAATCAATAACAAAAAGAAAACTAGAAAATCTTCAAATATTCTACAATTAAACATGTATGAGTACTTATAAATACCCATGAGTTAAAGGAGAAATCACAGTAACAAATACAATATTTTGAACTGAATGATAATGGAAACAATGAATCTAAACTTGTGTAATATAGCTAATGCTGTCCTGAAACAGGAAATCTGGCCTTAATTGCACATAATTCACAAAACGAATGGGTAAACCACAAAGTAAAACCAAGAGAAAGAATGACACAGAAACATAAAATTAAGAAGATTAACAGAAAAAGACAAGTGTTAGTCTTTTGGGTCAATTCAAGAAAAAAAAAAAAAAAGGCACAAATTATTAACATTAGAAATGGAAAACAGAAATAATTTTCTACCAATAGGCATTAGTAACATAACAACAGGATATTTTGAATAATTTCACACTGACACATTGCAATTTAGAGGAAACAGAAAAATTCCTTGGAAAATACAATTCCTCAAAAGAGACACAATAAAAAAAAAAAAAAAAAAAAAGAAAAATCAAAGAATCTTTATAATTCCATTATATATTAAGGAACTCCTGGTGTGACTCTGTAGGATAAGCACTGGACTGCTAACTGCAAGGTCTGTGGTTCGCACCTACCAGCTGCTCCTTGGAAACCCTATACAGAGTTGCTATGAGCAAGAAATTATTGGATGGCACTTTAACATATTAAAAGAAAGTGAATCTGTAGCTAAAACCCTGCCATATAAAAGATTCTACTTCAAACAGCTTCATTGGTGACTTTGTCCAAACATTTATACTGTAGAATATTTAAACTATACAAAGGACATTACTGTTCAGTACCTTTTAGGAAACCAGCGTAATCTTAATACCAAAAACTGAAAACACTATTTTTTTAAAAGATAGTTACAGACCCACCTTCTACTTGAACACAGATATTAAAAAAAAACCACCAGCTGCTCCTTGGAAACCCTATTTAGGGTGGTTATGAGTCAGAAGTGACTCCACAGCACTAACAACATATGACTGAAGGAGTTTCTGTCTTCTCCTATCTTCTATTCAGTGTTATGCTATGATCTTGTTGTTGTTAAGTGCCTTTGAGTCGGTTCCGACCCACAGAGGGTTTCTGAGGCTTTATATCTTTTCAGATGCAGAAAACCTCATCTAGCTCCTGCAGAGCAGGTGGTGAACTTGACCTGCCAACCTTTGGTTTGTCCAGTGCTTAGTCTACAGAGCCACCATGTTCCCTTGCTTTGGTCCTAGCCAGCACAATAAGGTGAGAAGAAAAAAAATGTAATTATTTTCAGCTGACGTAATTATACATTTCAGTGCAAACATTAAAAACATTGAATTAAGAAGCTCTCAATATAAAGCTAGTATTTAAAAATATCAATGACAAAGAATTTTAAATTAATTAAATCAGGAAGTTAAAAAAATTTTTCCATGTATGTTATACTCAAAAATGAAACTTCTGAGAATTAAATGAAAAATGTATGAGAACTCAACAGAGACCTACAAAACTGGGGGTGGGGGGGATTTTGTTCACAATTCTTTAAAAAAAAAAAAAAAAAGTAAAGGAGAGAACAATTCTCAAGCCACCCTATAAGTCAATATTACCCGACGATACCAAAACCAGTCAAAAATACCACACATGTAAAAAATACACCAATAATCTTTATGACTATAAATATACTCAAAACACTTAAAGACCAAATTTAGCAACATGGGTTTAGTATTATGACTAAGTGGGATTTATCCCAGGCATGCAAGGTTGATTTACCACCTGAAAACCGATGTATTTCACTATAAGAGGAGAAATCCCCTATGAAGACACAGAAAAGCATTTGATGAAATAGAGTACCCTTTCATAATAAAAACACAAAGAGGTTAGGAATAGAAGGGAAGTTCGTCCACATATAAAAACCATCTACGAAAAACCCATACTTAATGATGAGAGACAGGATGCTTTTCCTCTAAGATCAGGAATAAAAAAACAATGTTGACTTTTGTCTCTGCAAGGAATCCTGGTGGCACAGCAATAAAACACTTGGCTACTAATTTGAAAGGCTGCTGGTTTGAAACAATCCAGTGGTTCCAAAGGAAAAAGACCTGGTGATCTTTCATAAAGATCTGTAAAGATCACAGCTGATGCAACCTGTCACATGGGGTCTCTACGAGTCAACAGTACCTAACAAACATCCTATGGGAGGTTCTAGCTAGGGTATTATGAATTCAATTTTGTCCCCTAAAACTATGTTTCCAAATCCTGCCTGTGGTTATAATCCCTTTTGGGAAAGGGTTGTCCTTTGTTATGTTAATGAGACAGGATCACTGTAGGGTCAATATCTTACAAAATATAAAAACAGCAGATCAGGACAAGCAAGCAAGCCAAAGTAGGGAAAGAGAAGAGGTGAAAGGAAAACAGAGGCCACATGAAGGTTATCTAGGAGCAGGAACAGCTCAGAGACAAGAACCTTCCTTCAGAGCGGACAGAGAAAGCCTTCCCTTAGAGCCGGCACCCTGCATTCATACTTTTAGCCTCATAAACTGTGAGGAAATACATTTCTGTGTGTGAAAGCTACCCACTTGTGTTATTTGTTACAGCAGCAGTAGATAACTCTGACCCAGGGCAATGAAGAAGAGGGCGAGGGAGGATGGATGAGGGATGCTATTACAAATGTAACGTAATACTTAGGATATATAATGGATGCTATTACAAAAATAATATAATACTTATGGTAAATTTAACAAAAGGAATATGAAACTTGTTCACTGAAAATGACAAAACTGCTGGAAGAAATTAAAGATCTAAATAAATGGAAAGATGTTCATAAACTTCAAGGCAATCATAATCCCTATCACTATCTTAGCTGACTTCTTTTACAGAAATTGGCATACTGATCCTAAAGTTGACATGGAAATGTACAAGTGACCTAGAAGAGTCAAACCATGAAAATCAAGACCAAAGTTTGAGGACTCACCAAGTACTGATTTCAAAATGCACTGACAGCTACAATAATTAAGACAATGTGGTACTGGCAAAATAGACATATAGATCAGTGGAACAGAATCAAGACCCCAGACAAAAATAAAAAATTTCGACAAAGGAGTCAAGACAATCAGGAAATTGTCTTTTTAATAAATGATGATGGAACAACTGGATATCCACATGCAACACAATGAATGTAAAATGGTTCAGTCCCTTTGGGAAAATGTGGCAATTTACCAAAACGTTAAAAGAGCTATTTTACTTCTAGTATACAGCCAAGAGAAATGAAAACAAATAACCACATGAAAACTTTTCGATGAATACTTGTTGTTAAGTGCCACAAATCAGTTAGATTCATAGCAACCCTCTACAAGGTTTCCAAGGAGTGGCTGATGAGTATGAATCGCCTTAGGGTAGCATTATGCATAATAAATCAAAAGTGTTAACAATCCATATGTCCATCAACTGATGAATGAACAAAATGTGGCATATCCATACAATGGCATATTATGCAGCCACAGAAAACAACATAGTGACATACGCTTAAGTGGAGTCCTGGTATGTTGTTGTAGGATAAGCACTTGTAGCGTAGTGGTTACGAACCTTAAGGTAAGCGGTTCGAAACTACCAGCCGCTCTGTGGGAGAAAGATGAGGCTTTCTACTCCCATAAAGATTTACACCCTCGGAAACCCTGTACAGGGTCGCTATGGGTCGGAACCGACTCGATGGCACTTAACAACAACAATTAATCACAAGGTTGGCAGTGAAACCCACAAGCCACTCCTCAGAAACTCTATAAAGGGTTCCTCTGAGTTGGAACTGACTCGATGGCACTTAAGAACAACATATGCTATAATAGGGATGAACTTTAAAAATGTTATGCTAAGTGAAACAGTGAGATGTGAAAGCCACATCTTGTATGATTCCATTCACAATCATACATCACTTAACATCCATGATACATTCTGTGAAACAGGACATCATGCAATTTGACTACAGCATGAATATCACGTCATAGTCTTGTCCGGCTTTAAGCATTTTGAAAAAGCGTCTCACTGTAGCTATGGTCACCAGCGTGCTGAGAGGGACTGTTTTTGTGTTGGTCCTCAATCCATGCCAAATTAGCAATTTTTCTGTATCTGATGCAGGTCTCTCTTGTATTTTCATTAGCCTGATAGCTTTCAGTGGAGTCCATCCTTTAACAATTGATTTTCCACCTTTGTATTAATAACCTTTTGTTTTCTTCCCAATCAATACTTCTCTGCCTCTTGCTGCTGTAGTCACTAGCACTGACTTTTACTGTTTGGAAGCAGGGTGTACATCATAGTAATATTTTTTTAAAGGAAATTAAACAGAAAGATAACACTATAACATGCAAGAGACATGCGAGATACAAGATGCTGCTGTCTATAAGTTGAAGCATACACTATCATATGGTAAAGTTTAAAAATAGAAAATAGTACAGTGCATACATAAGCCAGTAATGTAGGCGTTTATTATGACTTTCAAGACATATGTGTTACAGGTTCTATATATACTGTACAATTACACTCCTGGCAGCATGATAACTTTATAAACAAGAGACAGGAGACGATACCATGTGTTATGTGCAGGAAACTGTTATAATCACTATGTCCGGCTCTCCAATTGAGATTGCTGAACTCTACCATTCCCTATGGAATCACAGATGCATATATGGTTGGACTCCACTGCTTGAATAGACGCTATGCAGCACATTAAGAAATGTCCAGAAAAGACAAGTCCAGAGATAGAAAATAGATTAGTGGTTGCCAGGAGCTAAGGGAAGAAGATAATGGGAAGTGATTGCTCGTGGCTATATAAGGTTTCTTATTGTGGTTATGAAAATGTTCTGAAATTAAATAATAATTATACCACTCCATGATTATACTAAAAACCACTAATATATACTTTAAAGGGGTGAACCTTCATAGTGTAAATTATAGCCCAATAAAACTGCTATAAAAAATATTACTGATAGTAATTAAAGATCTTTATATATGAAAAGTGTATCATGTTTATGGATTGAAATACTCAATCTTCCCTGACAACAGATATTTAGATTTAATTCCAATCCAAAATCCTGGTAAGCTTTGTTTGGGTAGCAATTGACCATGTTGGTACTAAAATTCAAATGAAAATGCATAGAACCAAGATTGCTAAGACAAACTCAAAAATAAATATTACTAGAGAACAAACCGTTAGATATTATGACTTCAGTCTGGTGGGTTTTAACTACTGTCCTTGTGGTTGGAAGTCCAGTGCTTATCCTACAGCACCACTGTGGTTCCTAAGACTTAAGTTGCTGTTGGTGTTAAGTCACTTCCAACTCATAGCAACCCTGTATAGGGCTTCCAAGGAGCAGGTAGTAAGTTTGAACTTCCGACTTTGTAGTTTATAGTCCAGTGCTTATCCTACAGTGTCACACCAGGACTTAAGTATTAAACCATATGTTTTTGTTGTTGTGAAGTGCCATCGAGGAGGCTCCAACTCACAGCGGCTCTATATAGGGTTTCCAAGGAGCAGCTGGTAGGTTTGAACTGCCAACCTTGTAGTTTGCAGTCCAGTGCTGACCTAGCGCCACACCAGGAGTCCAAACCATATAGTGGAGTTGATATATTTTCAAAACTCCTCATGCTACAGTTATAACATTTCTTACATGTTGATTAACAGAACCTCAGTGCCAATACACATTTTCAAACAAATGCCAAAAGGAAGGAAAGTTTAGATGCAAACTCAAAGACGAAGGATCCAGGAATCAGAAGTTATGAAAAAAGTTGCTCCATTTGGGGCTAATGAGCAGTGTGCAAAGAGCTGGAAATAGTTTTGGTTTTGTTTTAAAATATGAACAAGATGCTTGAAAATACAAGCCATCACACTCTACTTCAGTTATTCACCAACACTGCCCATGGAAGTTGGTCTACAAAAGCTTAAGGTAACTAAGAATGGAAAAGTTGTGTGAAAGAAATGGAGTGGACAGCTTTTAAGGGGAATCATCATCAGACTGTGGCATGGGATAATTTTGTTAAAAAGTAGAATAAGCTAGTTTTTATAAAATTTGAAAACAAGATGCCACTAGTTTTTAAAAAATTAGTTTTACTTCTATAAGTTATTCATTGAATACAAACCTGTTCCTTTTCTAGAAGACCTTCCTTTTGTCACTGTTGGTTTCTTCTTCACAGTTGGTGCCTGAGAGGTAGAATGCTCCCTCCACCTCCTAAGCTGGAAATTAATGAACTTCCACATCATGAAGGCCTGGGTAATGCAAATGGACGCCAGAACAGCAATTCTGAAAATATTCACAAATAAAGCAAAATCAGATTACACCAAAATACCATGTAGTATTCTATTTTCTCCTTATTTTAATAAAAGACTGAACAAATTACAGATTCAGCCATCTTAAATCTTTCATCAAAATTCTCTTTTTCCAATTCTTTTGGTTTAGGGGAAGAGACGAAGGTTCTTTTTATTTAGTGACTGATATTTTAACTTCCTTGTTTACTTACTATGGGTAACTGCTCAGATAATAAATATAAGGCTGAGGTTTCCAGAACAAATAAAAAACTTTATACAACTGACCCTTGAACCATGAGGGGGTTAAGGGTGCTGACTTCCCACACAGCTGAAAACCAATTTACAGTTGAACCTTGAACGACACAGGTCTGAATTGTGCGAACCCACTTATATTTCCCCTGCATCAAGGGCTGCTTTAAGCAGAAACTTGCAACACTTGAGCTCACCACAATCAGCAGCAGGAAGAAAGATCTGCGTATAAGTGGGCCCACACAATTCAAACTTACATTGTTCACGTGTCAACTATATTTGTGGTTTTGCTTTAGATTAAGAATGAAGGTACATAAACAAAATAAAAATCATCAACTATAGTAAGCGACTTGGTATTTGATACCCAATCTGCAAAAGTGGAAAAAAATTCATGCCTATAAAAGCAAGGGTTTATGTCTTGACAATACTTAGTTTGTGTTAAAATTCCCACTCTGTCTATAGCATTATGTCAATAAGTAGTAAATCCATTAATAACTATCCAGAAGTTAAGTAAATGTTTTAGTACTTCAGTTTAGATATAGGATATTTCAATGAGTATAAAACCAAAACAAATAATTTCCCTAACCCCTATATTTTATCTCTTAGCTTCTCAGATGATTCAAATCATAAAGAAACTGATCATATGTAATATATACGTCACCTAATGTCCACAATACGTTCTATGAAATAGGAAATTATGCAATTTGGATTCTGTGCAAATACCACATTATATGCAGGCCGTACCTATACCATCCATTAAATCCCCATTAAACCTATCATAAGAAAACCAGGTGGAGAGCAGGCTGTGGGCTCTGGGAGCATGGCTAGTGGTGATGGCCCTGGCTGTCACTGCACTATTGGTACAGTCAGTGGCAAAGCCAGGAGCAGGGTGCTCATCAGAGTCCTGGGCCCAGCAGGCCTCAGCCAGAACACAGGAGTCATGGCAGGTGCTGCTCTGTACCAGAAGTGAAAGGTGGCATGGCTGCTGAGCTGGTGAAGACAGCCCAGAGGTGGAAAAGAAGTGGAGGGGACTAGGATGTGCCTTAGCTCCCCACTGCTCATGCACTCTTGGGGCTTGGGGGTCTTTAAAACCATTAGGGGTAAATAATAAACAAAAGTAGAGCTGTCTTCCCTTAATGGATACTAAGTGATACATACATATACTCCACAGCAGTGAGAAAAGTGTTCTGTACCTAACAGCCAATACATTGAAGTTTCCAGTACTGAAATCAAGCTTCTGATTCTCTGCTCTTGCAAGGCCAAAGCCAACAGTGAGTACTGAAAGAATTAAAGTCAGAAGTCTTCCCAAAACAAACAGAACTGCCCACAGAGAAAACCTGTAAGAAAAATGTCTTAAGTCAAAATTTATAAACTCTCAAAGACAAGAAAAGATCCTAGTAGAAACTACATTCTTGCTAAGTAGTAATAAAAATTATGTTTTTTTCTAAGTAAATGCATGCTAAATAGTACTTCCTATTGTTCTTCAGGAATCCTGGTATATGACTCTATAGGGTAAGCACTGGACTGCTAACCACAAGGTGAGAAGTTCAAGCCTACCTGCCACTCCTTGGAAACGGTATACAGATATGTCACTACGAGATGCAACAGACTCAAAGGCACTTAACAAGAGCACCATTCTTCAAAAAATTATACTGTATTACATTCATGGAAATTAATTACACGTATTTAAAGTTTTAAGGAGTCCAGTAAAGAAAAGCTTAATTTCTACTTAATGTTCCTCAGAATTATTGGCATACTGAACAATTTTTGTAAATGCTATGTAAAAAGAAAACTGTGCTACAATAAAGTAAACACCCAAGTCCCATGTAAGAATTCTGGGTTTCCTTTCTTTTGAAGATTTATATTTCTTGTCTTAGCTCTGTAATTCTGTTTTCAGTCCAATTTTTCCATCAAAATTCTTGTAGTATCTTTGGTCTAAGGCTATGGAGTCTTGGTGTGGCAATGTAAGATAAGCACTGGACTGCTAACTGCAAGGTCAGCCAGTTCAAGTCCATCAGCTACTCCTCAGAAACCCTAAACAGGTCACTATGAATCAGAATCGACTTCACGACACTTAACAGCATGCAGTCTATTCTTTAATTTTCTTCCGAAAGTTCTTTTCTCTGTTATTCCTTCTCTAAAGGAAAACAGGCAACAAACAAGGTAGGAGAGATTGGAAGGGAAAAGTGAACCCCAAACAATCTTCAAAATTGATTCAGCATGTATTTACCTGAATGGTAGTGCTTATGTGCCGTGGAGTCGGTTCCCACTCATAGTGACCCTGTACAGCGTTTCCGAGGCTGTAAATCTTTACAGGAGCAGAAAGCCTCATCTTTCTCCCACAGAGCAGCTGGTAGTTTAGAACTGCTGACAGTGAGATTTGCAGCCCTACTTGTAATCACTACTATGCTACCAGAGCTTCTTATTTACCTGAATACTATTTTACAAAGAAAAATAGTAACTCTGAATTGCTGAGTAGTTTAATTTTATTTAAAAATTGTAAGGTAACATTATTATCTACATCAAGGACTTTGGCAACCTACATACTGGCTTTAAGTACCTACTATACAAGAATTAAATGGCTACATAACTTACCCTTTCTGATACTTTTCATCACTAAAATAAAACAGGCGAGAAATGTGGAAAAGAAATTCAACAAAATAATGCAGCACCAAAAGAACCAGTCCAAGATGATTCAAACTGTTAAAGACACAAATTTAGAATGAAAACGTTATCAATTGAGACACATTAGCACACATTACCCTAGGCCATATTTACACCCCAGAAAAAATCCCAACTCACTTCAGAAGATAAGCTCCAGCAATGTGAAAGAGGTAAAGACCAATGTAGACAAGCTGACGAGGAATATCTTCCTGTTAAGACAGAAAAATGCATTACAGATTACAATATGCCTAAAAAAAAAAAGTCTGTTTACAACAGTGCAATAGAGTAATATGCTATTTTGGAAGCAGAAGATCCCATTAGTGTCCGATTAGTTACAGGACTTAGCCCTTCATTATTCCAGCCATTAAATAATAGCTGAGTTTGCTTGAATTCAGATGAACTCAAAATTCCTTTTAGCACTAATATCTACCTCTGATTCTTATTATAATAAACCTTTACTTTAGATCATATTAATAATCATGATCATACACTGACCGATCTGATGTTCTTCTAACATTAAAACTGGCATTTATAACATTAGAGATGCCTTTATTGCCCAGAATTCAACATACTTAAGCCAATGCTTTAGTGCCTTCACTGTCAGTTGAAACCATCAAAGTTGAAGGTTAAAAATCGTATGTTTCATAATTCAACATACATTTTACGATACAACTTAATTGTACAGTCTGTTGTTGTTAATTGCCGTTGAGTCGGTTTCGACCCATAGCGACCCTGAACAGGGTTTCCGAGGCTGTAAATGTTTACAGGAGCAGACAGCTTCATCTTTCTCCTGCGGAGCAGCTGGTAGTTTCGAATTGCGGACCTTGTGGTTCGCAGCCCGATTCGTAACCACTACACTACCAGAGCTCTTGTATAGTCTACTACCACAATAATTCTGTTAGCCCACGTACTAGGCTGATAAAAAAAATTTTACTTTCTGCTTCCTCTTTCTTTATTAGTTATAAGTCAAGACCTATTAATGGATTATGGAATCAATTTAGCAATCACAGCACCATCTTCAAAAACACACAAACAAATACGCTCAATGACCCATGACTGGGGCATCAACTGCAACTCACAGTGAGCCTATTTATAAGACAGAGCGGAACTGCCCAGTTGGTTTCCAAGGCTGTGCTCATTACGGAAGCAGATTTCGACAGCTTTCTTCTGCAGAGCAGCTGGTAGATTTGAACCACCGATTGTTCAGTTTGCAGCTGAGTGCTATAACTACTGCATCACCGGAGCTCCTTAACATATACATGGTGGTGATGTGCCATGGAGTCGATTCCGACTCCTAACGACCCTGTGTACAGGGTTTCCAAGGCTGTAAATCTTGATGGGAGCAGAAAGCTTCATCTTTCTCCAGAAGAACAGCTGGCAGTTTTGAAGTGCTGACCTT